CACCACCCACTGATGTAACCTGTGGTCGAGAATTGAACTCTGTAGCCAGGTTCAAAGCACAGTTTGACCACTCCACCACCACTCAAAGGGAACACAGTGTAATAGTGATGGTACTAAAATAGAAATCATTGTGCTCCCCTCGTTTTGTGTTCTTCACAGTCCTGTGTCTTCTTTATATTTAATTCTGATCGGGGATGCAAGATTTTTTCTCTCTCGCTATAACCAACGGCCAATTTAAATATAATTTGTAGTTTGCGTTAATTCTTTCATTTTGTCATCAATTGTTTATTTTGGAGCAGTCCATTTGAGTGAGGCCCTTGCAGTATAAGTGTTGGATCATACCAAATGCTACCAAAACCACCTCCAATTGGTGCAGTGCAATTTTTAACCATACTGAAGTGTAAATGGTGCAGAGAGAACACAAAATGGCATTGTTAACCTGTACAACACGTCTCGCTAATTGGTCAGATATACAAGCTGTCCAGCGGAAATGGCAAGAATCTCTACCTTTGAGCCCGAGTTCATATTGTGCCCACTTGAAGCACCATTTATTGCTGTCCCACTTCACTTGGTGTGTACATTTCTATATTACAAGTCCTACCGTATTATTTATATGCATCCTCTTTTGCATTTTTTAAAACTTTCATTCTGTAGTTATGTTTATTTATATTTGGTACTGTTTTAGCAGATTCTGCTGCGCACTGTTGTCACATTTTTGCGACGTTATGCTTTGTATATGGGGTAAAGGGAAGTGATGCTACAGTGGTCCCTGATGATTTGAGTTTTATTCCCACCATGTCTGACATCAGTGGTGAGTGATATCTGTACTGTTCCTGGGTTCCCCACTCACCAACCCACACTGACCAGCATGGTGGAATATGGTCAAACAATCCTCATGACCAACAGGAAGTGGGGAGGCTTAATCCAGCAGTGCATGTATAACAACAAAGCTCTACTTTGTTGGTATATGTTCTGTATATTGTATCTATTAAAATAACATTAAAAGATGCTTTCAATAAGTATAATGTGGAAGAGTGGTATCACAGTTGTTCGTGCAGTTTCTTGCTATGGCTCGCACAGTAGGGAGGGATATCTGAACCCGTTCTAGGCTTCCTTTTCACCAGTCTGCACTGACCGTCATGGTGAAGTATGGTCAAACAACTCCCCTGATGGACAGGGTTGAGGGGGAGGCCTCTATCCGGAAGTGTGGTATCATTCGTTTTTAACCTTGGGCAAATTTAATAATTTGTACTTCTTTAAAGCACATGTTATAAAATGTTTGTACATACTGTGAAGTGGGGAAAATAGATATCGGCTGATTTTACAGCCATTAAATGCCACTTTGATTATTCAATCTGATATCAACTCAACAGCAAATCAATTTCTTAAAGGCAAAATAAATATCTTCAAAGGCCTGATCGCCGATGCATTGATCGTTTGTCTATGTTGCATAAAGATTATCTCATTCGTTTCATTTGAAGCTTTTAGGTGTGTTTACTGGTGAAATGTTGGCTTGGGTTGGGCCCCTTCTTACAGTTTACTGATTGTCTTGCAATGCGGTTATCGCAGGCCACACGGTTTCCTCTCAGCCTGATTGGTCACCTCGGGTAATGTTGGAGCAGAAAACACTGTTGTAAACATTTCTCAGTATTAGCAGACTCTATAACCACTGCGTGTACTTTTGCAGACACCTCGTTGTTGATGTGGCTTGTTCTATGTTGCGAGATGCATTAAGGTTTTTTTTTGCCTCGTTTAATACAACATTAAGCCAACCAAAAGACAAATAATACATGTACAGTCCATTCTTGTGAATCCACGACTGCATGAGGATATCTCCATGCCGTGCGTATCATGGAGGGTTATTTGACTATTTGACCATACTTTTGTTTTATGTATACGCAGGTAATTTTACACAAATCAAATTTGTTAAGCAAATGGACATAGGAAGGAACGTCGCAAGAAGGGCTGATGACCGTTGGTCAAGAATAGTGACAGTGGTGCCAAGGAATGTAACGCATCCGAGAGGATGTCCACTGAGGAGATGGAGCGATGAAATCAGCTTTTGTGCAGCCAATTTTTACATAGCATTGAGATAAATGACACCAGCTCAGGGAGGGATTTATCCAGCAGGTCATGGCTGATGACTTTTTCTTGATGGTCTTTGTGGGTTAGTGATGTTGGAGCATTGGTGTAGGAACATAGCACTACAACAATGGATTCTGAAATACTTGCCAAGGCTAACATGAGTGCCATTAACTACCTGTTTTTTTGCAATGACCGTGTTTAGTTTTTCTTTCGCAAAATGTATCTTTCTAGATTTGAAGCTTTCGTGACTGCAAGGATTCATACTCTTTGGTTTTTTCGGTAAAGTCACGTAGGTAAAAAATATAATAAATGGAAACAAAATTATTTATTTTATTTTATTTTTTGCCTACGTGACTTTACCGAAAAAACCAAAGAGTGTGTATCTGTTTCGCATTCAGGATCTGACGATCAGGTGCCTTCCGGTTGGATTGGTCAAAAGCAGGAAAAGTATGTTTGCTTTTAGGCCATCGAGCCATGCTGGGACGCGAGTTTCTTCAACAAAATGGGTGTTGAGGCACTTGGCGACTGTATGCGGTGTTTTTGCTGTAGGCATGATGCCCAGCAGTTCATGGCTGACTCACTCTGGCATCCTATCTTCAGTTCAGGCTGCGAAAGAAGCCCCCTAACCTTTCCCCCCCATGGTGCCAGCATCTTTCCGTTCCTATTTTGCTAGTACTAGTTTGCATTCTGGAATTATGCCCTGTATTTACTATATTTCAAAGGGTGTCTTTGATAAACAGTTTTATGTAACAGTTGTGCCGGGGCTTATAAAAGGCTATTTTAAGGTGCAAAAACAAGCATGTCATGAAGATTCAACAGTTATAGATGGCGTTTCATTGCATTTTGTTTTTTCTTTGCCTTACAATAAATGTTGTCACTCAGTGATAAATCAATGCCTTTTTGGACCACTTTAATACAGAGTGATAATGAAATGGTGCACTGTTTATCTTATTTAAAGACGCAGGTTCCCGTTGACATTCATTCCTGTATAATTTGTAGTGTGCAGAATTTATAGTCTGCTTAACCACCAAACATTTCTGCCAGGCGCTCTTTTGCAAGTAATCTGCATCTAAAGGGGCTGTAATTTATTGCAAATCTTTGCATTGGTTACCCGGCATGAAATGCTAATAATTGGTAGAGAAGGAGTGGCGGTTCTTTGCTCGTAACGCTATTGCTGTTTACTGTGGCTGCAACCGTTGAGGGCGGCGCATTAAAATGCAGCGCACAGCACCTTGAACACAGCATACTGTAGCCAATGACGGCCATACACGTCTGCAGCGCGGCCTGAATTAGGTTGCATTGCATGCTTGTGGTGACATACAAACTTGCCCCTGTGATTTACTGTAGCTGTAAAGCTATCGTAGGCCATCTTGTACAAATGGGGTACCTTTGCTGGCACTCGGGATCTTGCCATCTGCCAAACCAAAATGCCGAACCAAAATGTCAAGGTTAGGTAATGGACCAGTTATATCAAAGTTTCCTTTTTATACTTTTAACTTTTTTTCTTACTTTTGAGTTTCTTTTTAAAGTACCTATGAATAATGCACACTGAATTGTTGTGATAATTAATTAATGTTACAGCACTATGTGATTAAATGCGGCCAGGATATTGAGGCCTCTGTGGAGAATATGGGGGAATCTGAGTGGTCGGGAGCAATCAAGGTTATATAATGGCTGGTTCAGCCCTTATTAGCATCCAACTGGAGTTTTAGGTTGGATCTGCAATAAAGTAGCAATAGCATTATGAGCAGGAGCTCAATACATCTTTAATATTACTACTAGTAATATTCATATTACTAACATTGGTATTTTGGGAAGATTAAAGGTCACTGGAGTGCATTCTGTGCAATGAACCCAGTGACCTTAGTTCAATTCTTGGCCATGGCTAACATCAGTGGCGAGTGATAGCTGAACGTTTCCCACTTCACCAGCTTGGTGAACTATGGTCAAACAACTCGCAACCAACTGACCCTGCGTCGGGAGATCTACATCCAGCAGGAGTTTCAAAGGTCTATTCAAATGTGTTTTAAAATGTATTTTTAACAGTGTGATTTAAAAAGGCACTCTACATGCACTGTATGTAAAGTTGTCTTTGTTACTGGTTGTACTTTAGACTTAAATTACATTTTATGTTGCCATTGTTATTTTCAAATACAGTAGACTCGATTCTTCGCATTTATGACGGAGGACGGTCGCGGATAATTCAAAATCGTGGATAATCCAAACTAAATAATTTTCCTCGGATCTCTATGCCAAAAACCACTAATAAATGTATAAAGTATATTTAAGTGTCTTTTGCCATCGAACAGTTTCGTAAGTTAAAACTCACAAAATAAATGATCGGATACATCACTCAAGATGAAGCACAACTGACAATATTGATTGTTACTCTTTCGATTTAGAAGGAATACTAACGATCGACCGATTGAAGCGCATGCTCGGTGATAACACTTTACTGCTCCTGCGCAGAAGACTGCCCACTAAGTGGACAGCAGAGCCACGCCAATCAAAATCAATCAAACTCTACCCACTTGTAAATATATGCAACTACTGTACTGTAGAGGCGATCACGTGGATTTCGGATTAACCAGAGCACATATTGCTTCAGTTTAAGCACATCAATTGCAATAAATATTTGCAAGAATAACACTGTTTCTGTTTTTAGATTATTCATTTGGGCTTGTGGGAAATTCCATGAGTTATTCATTTTTGTCAATCTCAGGTGTGCGGTTAATCCTCAAATCGGATAAACCGCATGCGGATCATCGAGAGTCTTCTTTAATGTCAGCGCCCACTGTGTAAAAAATAAAAGAGGTGCAAATGATGCATGGTATACTCCTTACAAATGTTACAATACTGCACTGAATAACTGGAGTTTATTTCTTGTTTTGGTTGTTTACTTTTTCTAATTACAGATCACCAAAAACTGGAGAGGGAAGCTCGGATTTGCCGTCTGCTGAAGCACTCCAACATCGGTAAGTCATTGCGCCCTGCAAAATGTTTGAAGTACATTAAAAGCTCACATGTCTCAACACTTTGTCCATGACATTTGGCACTGACCTGCAGGACATCCTTGACCAAATGAACATGCACCCTATGAACGGGCAAGTAGGACACATAATGAACAAACCAATAATTGTCTCCCAGGCATGTCGTGTATGTGTTCTGCATATCTTGCGGTCCTTTTTTAAACTAGAATTTCTGGTTACATATTTGCACGTGTGCAAGATTTTTTAACCGATAGCACTATGTAACACAATTTTTGTTTCTGGGTACTCAGTGTTATTTTTTTATTCTTGACGTAAAGCTTCCGTGACTGCAGGAATTCATATTCTTGGGTCTTTTGGTAAATTCACGTAGATAAGTTCAAAGAAAATAACAAAAAATAACAAACTAACTTTTCCTGAAGACGACTTCTTGTGTTGCGATCGAAACGTCGTACTTTTTTGTTATTTTTTGTTATTTTCTTTGAACCTATCTACGTGACTTCACCAAAAGGCCCAAGAATATGTTATTTTAAAATTTCTTATGCCTAAAAAGTATAGAAAATGGCTAATTTCCCCACACACTTTGCTTTTGTGACCAGGACTTTACGTGAACAAAAGACACAAATGCACACGTTTTCTCATTGCAATAGGTACATTTAAAATATCACTGTCCTGGTCACAAAAGCAAAGGTTGTGGGGAATAATAGCCGTTTTATGTACTTTTGAGACAGAAGCAATTAGGAAATAACACTTAGTACCCAGGAACAAATTTTTATTTTTGTTACACAGTGTAGTCGTGCCATTAAAAGTGTAGTGAGTCCAACTGAGTCGCAGGCGTTATTCTTGAGAGGCAACACATTTATTGTAACACGTATATATAAAGGGGTAACTGCCCCTTTACCAGATACAGCCTGGGGTGGTGACCACCCAGCTAACTCCACTATACGGAGGAGTTACAGCTACGAAGGGTCAGACCCTCACTCGGGTCCCCTGCTACGTGTTGATGCCTCGTAGAATGTAGGGCTTCCAGCTTGTGGACGTAGAGCTTGCAGCTTGTAGAACGAAGCGACCCCGGTCCCTCTCAGGGACCCACCTTATATCCTCCCGGGTCGGGGCCGGCTCCGCCCTCGGCCCCGCCCACCTTCTCGAGCGTTCTAGCTCCCCCTCGATCCCTCTCGAGAGCTCTCGCTGGACACGTGATCACCCCCAAGCCCCCCCCACCTGGGGCCTTCTCTGTGGACACTCCAGATCACGTGTCTACGTGGTCAACCAGAGTGCTATGGCCCGGGGCAACCCTGTCCCTGGGCTGACACTCTCCCACTCCCCCTTGTGGGATGCCGCACTGCACGCTATGCGTGGTGCCCGTGCTATCCCAGCGCTCACCAAGCCCCACTAGGGCTGGTACTAAACCCATCTCTGGGTGTGCGCGATGACGGTGCATCGCACACTGTGCTATGCTAAAGCCGGCATCATACAGCAACCCACCCGGTGCTGTCCGCATCCCTGATGTCACTACAAAAGTATAATCATAACAATATAATGAGCCAAGAATGTGTGTCCCGCGCGTGAGGCCCCCCCCCCCCCTCATTAATAATCATGAGCGGGTGACGTCACTCCACATGCCACACCCCTCCCTGTGGTTGTCCCACCTGATGACGATTGCTTGTGTTGCGATCGAAACGTCGTGATCTATTACTTTTCTACATACTTGACTTTACCGAAAGAACCAAAGAGTAACCATGAGGGGGTGACGTCACTCCACATGGGGCAACCCCCCCCTCATTAATTATCATGAGCTGAACAATTTTTCTATTGAATATTTCAAATTTACTGTAATATACACCCGTCCTTGGACAGGCAAACTAGCTAGTGTTACAATAATATCACATGAACAGATCCAGATTAATCCCAAGCCAGATATTGCATACTTTTTTCTTATATAAATGTTATTATTTATTTTCAAACGGATATACAGTGGTACCTCGGTATACATAGTTAATTCCAGAAGGTCGGACTTATCCCGAAACGAATTTTTCCAATAAGAAATAAAGGGAAAGGAAATAATACATTTCAGAGTATAAGAAATTATATTTTACATGGCATATTATACATTAATGGGGTTGTATAAAATAATTTAGACACTACTTATTACTAAAAAGCATACATAAATTAAAATAAATGCATAAATAAATTAAAATAAGTTTAAATAATAATCAAATTTATCATCACTTTACCTTGCTGAGAGGAGTTGATAGCCTACGAGGATGGTGGTGAGGAAGGGGAGGAGTCGGGAAAGGGGTCTACGCGGCGGGTACGCGGTGACTCATCCCAACCCATACAAGTTCTAGCAAGCAAGACGTCGTATCCCAAGACATTTTTTTTCTCGTCAAAACACGACGTGTACCAAATTCAACGTATTCCAAAGCGGTCGTATACCGAGGTATGACTATACATGTACACAAGCAAATATTTCCCATTTTTTGTTTCATTTATTCTCGGTCATGTCAAAATGCCACATTAATGTTATGTTGAAGACTTGAAATCTTTGATATGTCTGCAGGCCCTTGAACCATGCTTCATTAAAAGCATTTTCACCAAAAATGTCTTGACATGCAACTGAATCACGATGTTTCAAAATTGGCATCTGAAAATACTCTGTTTCCAATTAAATTACAATTATACTGTACCGTTTTGATGTACATTGTTTAAATATGAATGTAAATGTTTGGCATGCATTTTCAATAACAATTTAAATGCACGCATTAATTCCATTGAATCTACTAACATTAATTACATGGCATATGTTATTTTTACATCAATGCTACCATCTACAGGTCTTATTATTCTTTGCATTTAATATATTCTTGAAGGGTGATGGAACGTCCACAGAGTATACTTTTGGAGGCGTGCATTAGTGCCTGCTCCTGCCATCCGACGTGTACCCACCCTCCATAATTCCTCACTTTTTTAAATCCTTTATATTAAGTTCACTTGCTTGCTTGCGTGCTTACGACCGTGCAAATCTTTCGGTCGTTTTTTAACCCACTTCCCGTGATCCAATCGAGCTGACATTTTGGACACAGACTCGTTGTGCGTGACAATTGATTTTCGTGAAAAAAATTCCAAAATTTTCCACTTTTTAGGACATTTTTTTTTCATATTTAATTTAAAATACCAATGTGATAAAAATGAAACTCTTACTCAAGAAAAACAGAAATGAATAATAAAATAAAACCGATGCCACGCATATAAAGGATTTATAGTGAAAAACTTTGTTTTTACGGGTTAATTTTAACCCGTCTGCACTACCAGCAGAGCGCAGCATGGGGCTAAACCACTTTGGAATAACTAGTGGATAAATATTTTTATTACAAGAGGGCAGACCAGAGGAGCATATGCAGAGCTGTATTTTCCTTTCTCTGCTGCCCTATCTTTACTGCATCAAATTTGACCTTTCAAGAATAGAAGTTAATTAATGCTAGACTTTTAGTTTTTTTAAGGAATGTTAAGAAATATGTGATACTTTACAGTTCAACATCACTTTCCTGATCATATGCAGATTATGCATTTATCATACCATTGTTAATTTTCCAATTGTTATTTTGTGGAGAGACTGGACTAAGCCCCAAATCAGAATATTTATTTATACTTGAGGAATCTGATGAGCTGTAAAGCTCTTTTGCGCAGATTTCCAGTAAATAAGCACCACCCCCAACACTCGTTTCACGAGAAAGACACATTGAGTATTCGTTTTGCACGAAATTCTAAACAAGAAATTTACAATGAAATTGACACTAGTGATAAGTCTCGTATAATTAAATTATTACATTGGTGTGCAGACTTCAGAATAATTTGTAACGGTATTACCCAACGTTAAATTAACAAGTTTCTTGCATAATAAGGCAAGTAGTGCAAATGAGCACCTAATTAAGGTCTGCCTACTACACAAGGGCAATCGTCAACATGCCCCTCAGGATCTGTAACTCCTGTCAAGAAATATAATATTGAACGGATACTATATTATTTCATGAAGTATAGAAAAATGTACCCTATTTCTACAATATAATAACAATAGGTTGTTTGTACAAAAGTGTTTAAAAATAAATAACATTCCCAGTATAGTGCACAAATGATGGTGTATTTTGCACACCACTTGATATAAGTAAGGGCATTTGCAATTTTAATGGATAATTGGCATCAGCGGTAGCATTTTTTTTAGGACAAAGTCAACACTTTGCAACCATAAATTGCACTTTAAAGTTAAGAATATACAAAAAATGTACTGCCTGAGGCAAAGTTCTTTAAAAAATTCCATTCATTTAGTCCTTACGCCAAATCGCAACATGCATATTAATGATGCTGTCTGGGAAGTGATTTTTGGTGCGTAAAATTTCACATAGCCACGACTATAATGCAGCCCCCACTCATTCTTAGGGAAACAAAAAAACAAAGAAGCATCAGATAACCTTTACCAACATGGCCAGCGATTATATCCCACATTGTCAAGCAGGGTCTACTCCAGGCATGTGGCATTGCTTGTGGTGGTGATCCAAAATTTGGCATGTAAAAACAGGCATTTTGTGTAAACATGTTCACGTCAGCACTCGTAATTCCACTTATATTTTTTACAGCTGTGCAGCTTCTGTTATTGTCCACAAGATGAAGATGTAAATTGGTTTCCAATTGGTAGTCCTTGACAATTAAAACAACATTTAGTTCACAATATTTTTTTCTGTGATACGATTGATCTTCTCTCCCCTGCAGCTTTTAACAAAAGAATTGCAGACCTTTGGCATGCATTTTATTTTTAAATATAATGTATGTCTGGGGCATTGCATTTCTGGCCTGTGCCCTGCCTGTGACACTGTCAAAGCTTTCTTGGAAGCATTGTCAGGATATTTTTACCTCGGCGCCATGTAGAAGGAATACACTGATGAGCTGTGTGTGTGTTCGTGTGTCCCATGCGCAACTTTGACATTTTAAATCGG